AGATAGAGACCACCAGCTCCTTCCCTCCCAGTAGGAGCGAGCCATTCCTCTTGTGAGGAGTAATGTCTATCCATATGCCAACTTATCTTAAGGTAAGTTTTCCATTTCTCGATATATCCTAGAATTCTGTAACCTGCCCTCCCCTTAATCATTATTAGATATTAGTGATTTAAAACCAGACATAAAATTCTGAGGTTTTCTTTCTGTCTTTGTTTTGTAGTTCTTAACCTGGTCTTTCTGTTTAACTCTGCATTTTATAAATAGCTCTGTATTTTATAAATATCTTATTCTACCACTATGGAATTTTTCAAGGGAGTTACTAACTTTCAAAAATGCCTCCAACACAGAACAAAACTTTTAAAAACAAAAAACCAAATTAAAAAGGAATTTTAAAAAGACAAAACAGAAACATAAAAAAAGCTTCAACATCATGCAAAATCCACAAAGTAGAAGTAAAATAGTATGTAAAATCTGCCTCTTGGCTGGGGATGTAGCTCGGTGGCACAAGCACCTGCCTAGCAAGCACAAGGTCCTGGGTTTGATTCCCAGTACTCAAAAAAAAAAAAATCTGCCTCTTTCACACCCTCTCTACCAAGTGGCCTCCCTTGCTGGCCACTTCTCAGGCTGCCACCATTGTCACTTTCATGTGCATCTTTTGAGAGTTAATATACAGACGTTCCAAACATGTACACACATGCTATCTGTCTACACCTCCGTCTGCTTATATAGCTCAAAATTACATCACCGCTACTTTAAGATTGCTTCTTTCTTAAGGGCTTCATAGTATTCCTTTGTATGAAGGAATTATAGCTAGCCCTCCATTGATGGACATTTAAATTTGTTTAAATTTTCTACAGTAGCTGGGTATGGTGGTGCACGCGTGTAATCCCAGTACTCAGGAAGCTGAGGCAGGAGGATCGTTACAAGTTCGAGACCAGCCTGGGCTACAAAGTGAGCTCAAGGCCAGCCTGAACTGCATAGTAAGACCCTGTCTCGAAGAAAAAAAATCAATTAATTAATTAATTTAATTTAATATAAATGTTCTACAATAAACTTTAGATATGGACATATATATGTAATTGTGAATTTTGGTTTTTTTTATTTGGTTTGAAGTTCTCACCCTATACTGGCAAATGAGCCCGAGAAGTGCTGAGCTAGATCCCTATTCATTTTTTATTTTGAGACAGGGTCTTGCTAAGGTGCTCAGGCTAATCTCAGCTTCAAACTTGCAGTATTCTTGCCTCAGCCTCCAAAGTCACTAGGATTACAGGTGTGCACCACCACACACAGCCACGTGTACATACTTATACAATAAATTTCCAGTTTGCCAGAGTAAAGAATCAACGCTGTTTATTTCCATCATCCCAGATAGCCTCCTCCATCAGTTTCCAGATACTATTTTACCATATTCTTGATGGTATTTAACTTCATTTGCTTCATTTTGCTTCCTATTTAAAGTGATGTTAAGCGTCTTTTATGTAAACAGTTGCATAATTTTATGTAACTAATTGTCTGAAACTAGTCTGTTGAAATCTGATCTTCACCTCTATTATTAGTTTTTCTCATCAGTTTTTGTAATTGATTTTCAACAGCTCTTTATATATTAAGAAAGTTGGCCTTTTTTCCTTTGTATTAAAAGTTTCTCCAGGTAATTATCTTTTTATTTTTAAACGAATGTTTCTCAAAGCAATTTTGTTCATGTTGTCAAACTGATTTATGGTTTTCCTTTATCACGCTTATTTAAAAAACTTTCTCACTCAGGCATTTTTTAAATCCCCCCCGGGGCCCTGCCGCCGCGCTTTCTCAATATCATGTTTTCTCTAATCCTCAGGGACTCACTCTCCCCTCCATCTCTTGCCTTCCACTGCCCAGTCTTACACAGATCAAAGGAGGCCCACAAGAGGGCACCAGCCCAGCAGCTGCCTGAACCCTGACAAGATAGGCCAGACACCAGAGAGGGAAGACGGCAAGCAACTGAACGGAAATGAGATCTGACCAGTGGGCTGTAAGAAACTTCCTGTGCATATACAAAGGGTTACAGACAGGCCTGCAGCTGCGTCCCGCTGGAAGTCATCAGGAAGGAGATGTAGGATCTCCTTTCAGCCCTGCCGCTCACAGCTGCACACAGATAACTAAGGCTTTGTACCCGCTTGAGGAGCAGATGTCTGTAGTGAGCCTGGAGTATCTCACACACAAGACTAAGTCAGGATTTCTGTCCCCAAAAGCCTGTTAGTAAACAATAACACACAGAAATGAAGTAGCACAGTGAATGTCATGTGCTTCTAATTTGACCATGATAATCTCCTCCCTCAACCTGTCCTGTCCCTGAAAGGGCTCCAGCAGAGGCTCTCAGGGGAGGCTCTGGTCCTATGCCATCCATCATCGTGGGCTGAGGCGCTCGGATCTCAACCTCCTGCATCATTCAAGCAGAGCCCCCCCCCCGCCCACGCTGAGCCTCAGAGAGTCCTCTAGGAACCAGCTGGGCATTTTCCTTCACATGTTAAATTATCCTTCAACAAATGACACTGAGAACACTGGGCAGCCTCTTCCTTACTGTGATGGTTTGGATACAGAGTGTCCCTCAATAGCCTGCGCGTTGAAGGCTTGTTTCCAATCAGCAAGCAGTGTTCAGCAGTGCGAGAGGTCTGGACGGTGAGGGCTCTAACCTCATCCATCAATTAATCCTTTGCACAGTCCGGGTCCACCAGGCTATTGGGAGGTGGCGAGAACACTAGGAGGTGGCGCCTCGTTGTAGGAAGCAGGTCACTGGGGTGAACCTGGATGGGTGTATTTTGTCCCCCGCACTCTGCTCTTTCTCTGATGATTCCTGGCAGCCACCAGGCGAGCAGCTTTGCCCCACTGCGCCCCTCCTCCATGAGGCTGCTCACCACAGGCCCAGAAACACAGGAGCCAAGTGGCCACGATGGAGACCTCCGAAACCGCGAGCCAAAGTGAATCCACTTGCTGCAAGCTGATTTTCTCAGGTATTTTGTCACAGCCATAGGAAATTAGACTGACACACTTGCCACATCAAGTATTAAAGTACTAAAGAACTAAAGCCATAAAACATTTAGAAGAAAACACAGGGATAAAAAAAGCATCATGATAAAGGATTTGGCAATAATTGCTTGGCTATGATACCAAAGCCACAGGCAACAGCAACAAAACAGGTAAGATAGATTTCAGGCATCAAAAGGCACTATCAAAAAAAATCCCAGAACGAATTTGATCAAAACCTATTATATGCATTGAAGCCTGCCTCCCCCCCCCCATCTGAAGCTACCAGGGAAGATGGGGCAGGGAGGTAATTACGGGGGTGATCAAAGTACAGTTGTAAATGCACACGTACAAACTGCCAAAATGAAAGCCATTAATCTATATATCCAAGAAGCACTAATAAAAAGGTGAAGGGAGGAAACTAAGAACATGTAGTAGGAGAAAATACTTGCAGTTTATGTATCTGATTAGGGGTTGATACACAGAAGAACTACAATGCAACCAAAAAATAACAACAACAACAAAGAACCTGAGTAGAAAACTGGCAAACACTTGAACAGATATTTCTCCAAAGATACATAAATGGACAATGTGCACATAAAAATTTGCTCAACATAGGTAACAGGTATGGAGGTGCAAATCAAATCCACAATGAGACACCCTTTCCTACTAATGAGGATGATTATTTAAGCAAAGAAAAAAACTCAGAAAATACCACATGCAAGGACGTGAATAAATTGTAATTCTTGTACACAACTGGGAAAGGGAGTAAAAAATGGTGCAGCCCCTGTGGACAATTTATGGTGACATCTCAAAAAATTAAGCATAAAATTACCATATGATACAACATTTCACTTTGGAGCATACACCCAAAAGAACTGAAAGCAGAGGCTTAAACAGATACTTCTACACAAATATTCTAGCTTTATTTACATGTGGGCAAAAGGGAGAAGCAACTCAGATCTATCTTTTCATTGAAAGCTCAACAGGTAAACAAAATGTGGAATATACAAGCCAAGTGTGTGCCAGCAGGGTTACCAGGTGTACTCCCAGCTACTGGAGAGGCTGAAGCAGGAGGATTTCAAGTTCAAAACCAACGCGGGCAACTCAGCACAATAACCTATCAAGGAGGGAAGGAAGGAAGGGAAGAAAGGGCGAGCTAGGGGTGTAGCAGAGTGGCAGAGCACTTGCCTAGCATGTATGAGGTCTCAAGTTCACCTTGAGAGAGGTGATAGGGTTTTTATTATTGAAAAAGTTTTTGGAGATGGAGGGCAATGGTAGCTGCAAACAAAGTGAGCAGCCAGGCATGTTGGTGCAAGCCTGTAATCACAGCACTTTGGAAGCCTGAGACAGGAGGATCACCATGAGTTCAAGACTAGGCTGAGATATACAATGAGTTCAAGGCCAGCCTGAAGTACACAGTGAGATCCTGTCTCAAAAAAAAAACAAAATAAGTGAGCATGCTTAACGCCAAAGAACTATAAGCTTTAAAAGTGCAAATATGGCCTACAATTTAACCCCAGTAAAAAGATTATCAATTTATATTACTACTCCTTCCTCCACCTTTCAGCTATATCACTTAAGGCCAGGGAGCCTATCTTGTTAATCTTTGTACACTTATAACCAGTGGCAAGCCCTCAATAGAGATACTGACCCTACTCAGGAAGTCACTAAAACTAAGATATTCTCCAGGTTGAGGCTGAAAAATAGCACCTGAAACCACAGTTGGGCAGAGATTTTGTCCCATAACCCCTTTCTCAGTGATAAAACTGAATGTGTTCATTAACAAAATACTAAATCAAAAAAAAGCAATAGCGGGGCTGGGGATTTAGCTCAGCAGCACAGCACCTACCTGGCAAGTGCGAGGTCGTGAGCTCAATTCCCAGTACCAGAAAAAAACCAAAACCAAAAAAAAAAAAAAGCAACAGCATGAGTTACTAATTCCTATCTTCAAGACAAATGTCTGCTAAAAGCACCACACAAACATCTCCAGCTCACTATACCTTCCCAGCAGGCTTCAAGGACTGCTCCCAGAAGCACTTTTGCTCCCTCCTCCTCTTCTTCCCCCTGACACTCCTCACTCAAGCCTACCATTTTAAGGGCCCCTCCTCAGTTCCCAGCCACACCCTAAAGGACTGCTCACAAAGCCCAAGTTCTAAAAGGACAGGGATTCACTCTGAAGTCCAGGCTGACATCAAATTTGCAGGTGACCTACCCTTAGCTTCCCAAATGCTGGAGCTACAAGAACCACACCCAGCCGCCACGTCTGTCACATTTTTTTTTTTTTTTTTTTTTGGTCTTTTTTGAGACAGGGTCTTGCTATGCAGTTCAGGCTGGACTTGAGCTCACTTTGTAGCCCAGGCTGGCCTCAACTCGCAACAATCCTCCTGCCTCAACCTCCCAAGTGTTGGGATTACAGGCGTACACCACCACGCCCGGCGTCTGTCGCTCTTGATGGAAATCAAGTCTGGTTAAATGAGTGTGTTCTGAAATTGGTCCTGGCTGACCTCCCCTCACCAAGCTCTCTCATGGGGTACCATGGCTAGTGATGAGAAGGGTGCTCGCCCTGCTCCCCCCAATTGTCTTCTTATGGTAGAAGAGCTTCCTACTGAAATGCAACAGACTGTGGCAAACATAGGTCTGTCTTTTTACATTAAAAAAAGAAGGGATATGTAGATGGGGCTACATGGCACAGAAACCCTCCAAAACTGCACAGACAGAAGATGCTGGGGACAGCCTTCCTAGTTTGTTCTGTTGCGTGTCTTGCTGCCATGCTCACCACGCCCGCTGAGGGGACTCACAGCGCAGAACCCACCATTGTGACAGTGCAGCTGGAACCCTGCTCGGGGAGCTGTCCACAGCAAGCACCAAAACTTTTACCTACCAATTTGGCCAAGGTATGTTCCAGTGAAAATAAATAAGTAAAAATGAAACTCTAAAAAACTAAAAACTATGTTCATCCTTGAAAACTATGTAAATGTCACTACTAGGACTTTCTCCTAAGGACATAACACCACAAAATTTATGAGGATATCAACTACTGTATAAAAGCTAATAACACCTACCTACCTACCTGGTCACCAGTAACAGGCAGGGTTGTTAAATCTTGAGATGTGGTTAACACAATGTCTACAACTACCAGAAACCACGTCTGCAAATCGCTGCATATGGAAAACATTCAGGATACATCAAAAGTATATAGCCTATACAGCTGAGGGATGCACAACCAGTCTTGTCCAACCGCAAAATGAAAATATCCAGGAAAATGTTTCTGTACTAACCATAGACAGACCCTTCTTCCTTGTCACTCTCTAACAATGTAGCAGTAACAACTATTTATATATCATTTACATTGTGATGGGTATTCTAAATCAGAGATGATTTCAAGTACACAGGAAGATGTAGTTAGGTTATACGTAAATACTACACCATTTTATATAAGGGTCCTGAGCACCCTCCAATTTTGGTACACAGGGGAAAGGGGGAAGGGTTCTGAGACAAATCTTCCATACATACTAAGTGATGACTATATAATCCTCACTTTTGTCCAAAAAGGAAAACATGCTCCAACACCGGGCATGATGGCACACGCCAGTAATCCCAGTAGAGGCAGGAGGATCGTTGCGAGTTTGAGGCCAGCCTGGGCTACATAAGTGAGTTCAAGGCCAACGTGAACTGCATCAAGAGACCCTGTCTCAAAAAGAGAAAAAAAAAAGAAAATATGCTGCAAAGATTTGCATATATACAGAAGTTCTGGATGCAATCTAAGTGGTAACAATGACTGTATCTAGGAGAGGGAGGTATGTACCATTTTTCCCTCTTTGTACTATTTTAATTACTTTTTATAGGTCAAATAAGGCTCAAGAAGAATGAAGTCTAACCTAAACCACACACACAAGGTGCTGACATCCACAAAAGTAACAAAACAGTTTCAAATGTAATTAAAAAAACTATCCTAACCGGGCATAGTAGCACATGCCTATAATGCCAGCTGCAAGTAGATGAGACAGGAAGATCACAGGTTCGAGACTGACCTAGGCAACTTAGCAAGACCCTGACTCAAAATAAAAATAAAACTCTGAGAGTGTAGCTTATTGGCAAAGTTCTTGCCTACAGTGTGGGAGGCCTGGAATTCAATACCCAGGACTACCACTGAAAAGAAACTAGCTATCCTCATTCGAGCCCTGGGTATCACCGCCACCAAAGTCACAAAAGAGAATGTGGGCCCACTTACCAGGATGTTGAAAACTAAAAAAAAGACCCCACTAAAAACCAAATAATATTTTATTCATTAAGTGATGGCCATATTTAAACAAATACACAACATCATGAAAACACATAGAATACACTGCAGAATTTAATCTTCATCATATCACAAACCAGCTATCAGTGCATTGGGCTGTAGGAGAAGGTGACGGTCTCCACAGGAGTTAAAGTTCCTCATAATTTTCGCTTATTGGAAGAACTTGAAGGACAGAAAGGAGTAGGCCATGGAACAGTTAGCTGGGGCCTTCAAGATGATGAAGATATGACAATTACAAGGTGGACAGGAATGATTATTGGGCCACCATGTTTCCTAATCTCCCCATTTAGCCTGGGGCAGTTGACAACTAGACAGCAAAAATTATGAAAACAGACAAGCACAAATTATGAAAACAGAATATATAGCCTGAAAGTAGAATGTGCACCTAAATACCCAGAAGCTCCTCCATCGTTAGATTTATAACAAAAATTAATATGAATGGAATAAATAATTCCAGTGGAATGGTGGACACATGCAGCATACCAGTGTTAGCAAAATGGCAAAATTCATATAGCACTGAAGTTGTACTTCAAGAGCTAAGACATCTAATGATGTCCAAAGAAAACATGAAGCTTCCACAACCACAAGGACAAACATACAACAATTAGCTTTAGTGGATCTCAAACTTGTCTTAAATCAACAACATTCTACTCATATTTATGTCTTGATTAAATATCACAATACAAAATACCCACACATTAAGTAAAAGAATTCCAGCTGATAAACACGACCTGGACATTTCTAAGAATATATTTAATAAATGTTCACCTATTATGTTTTCAGGTAATAGGAGGAAAAATGCAGCACAACTTTTCTTTCTCTTGTTAAGGCACTGTCATTTAAACATGAACCTGGAGTCCTCCAAATAGAATTCAGGTTTACAAGATGAAAGCATGGGAAGAACTGTCAGATGTCAGGGGAAACGTGTGTTTTTTAAAAGTAAAATCTCAAGAAGGAAAAATAGAAATGGCATGCTTATCCATCTTGCTTAGTGAAAGAGCTGCAGTTTGAAATTGTTCAAAGTGGCAGATACAATGAATATTGTCACAAATTGTGTTAATTTTTGAAGCAGTGTGGGTGCTGACTACTAATAGTATAAAAAATATGTTCAGGATTGTTTTGATACCTGTATTTATAATAAAAAATGTTGGGGGGCGGTTGATGAATTTCTGTCAAAAGCTGTTCCTGGGGCTGGGGATTTAGCTCAGCAGCAAAGCGCCTGCCTGGCAAGCACAAGGTCATGAGTTAGATTCCTGGTACTGGAAGAAAAACAAAACAAACAAACAAACAAGTTGTTCCTGTGTGTTACAGTAACAGACGTGGTAAGTATTTGTTTACAGTCTTTGTTAAATAAACCATGCATTTAAGTTTAGGTGAAATCAACAAAAGGAAATAGGTATATGGATATGTGATTTTGAGATTAGTCTTAAAATGTAAATAAAATGTAGAACGTGTCAAAAAAAAAAAAAACAGCTAGATGAGCTCCGCAACTCTACCACTGATACTGAGAATTGTCAGAAGACTCCTCTGGAGGACATTCAAGCCCCACTGTACCAAAGTAAGGTCAAAACTAATTTCCAGAGTGCGTTTTTAGCAGTTGGTTCCAATGACAGCTCCCCTCACCCCACAGAAGCCCTTGGCTTGAAAGAATATTTCCTTCTTTTGGAAAGTTCACTCGCTATGCCAGACTGAGAATGCAGTTTTCCATACAAATGAGGAAGAATCAGATTCCCTGCATAACTTTTTTCTCCACCCCCATCCCTACCCTGCTGAGTGGCAAGTGCTCTGCCACTGAGCTACACCTCCAGCCCCCAGCCTAACTTCTACCAAATTCTCATACCGATATTAAAACCCGGCACACTTGCTTAACAAGATAGAGATGATAATCTGATGCAAATCTAAAACATAAAGAACATCACAAGTGTGGGCACTTGCAGATACAGAAGGGCCACTGCCTATGTGCACTCAGAGCAAACAGCGAACATACTTTGTTCTGCAACACACACCCTGTCCAACTCTCTACAGACTCCTCTCCTCCCAAACACCTGCCCTGCGCATCTTCAGGTGTCCCCAGAGCTGAGTCTCCAGTGCTCTTAGTCTCCTAATTGCTCTCAGGGTCAATCTGAGCTTGGGGCACAGGGCAGGCAGTGGAAGGGACAGCACATCATAGACATGTGGCTCTTTTTTCTGGACCCACAGATTCCCAGATCATCCATGTTTCCTAATCTCCCCATTTAGCCTGGGGCAGTCGACAACTAGACAGCAAAAATGATCTCTACAGGGCCAAATGCCTATCATAATCACTGATTTCAATGTTTTTCTTTTCTATATGGGCAAGTCCTGTAATCTAGTCTTCATTTACACACACGAATCTGACACAAGCTTCTTTTCCAGATTTCAAGAGCTGTAAAAAAAGGGAAGTGAAAGGAAGGTTTGTAACATTCGCCAAGTGCCTCTCCCTGTATGAGGCACAAGAGGAAACGAAGGGTGTAAATGTCCTAACACCTGTAAGCTGCAATTAGAATGCTCCTGGTTGCTCCAACGTCTGTAGAAGCAGTCACTGCAGCAGCCAGCCACCACCTGCCACAAAAGCTAACGGACTCGGCCTGCCTGGGTTCTGTTCCCCAACACCAAGTGCTCCTCAGGGGAATAAGGGGCCCATGGAAGACCTGTCCGTCATTCTCTCTAAAGTTCACTTGTAAGTGTGGGAACTTAAAGGGGCCTTTCTGAAACACTGCTCAGTGTGGGGTTCCAGGAGGTTGGGGGTTGTACACCAAGGGGCCTCGGATCTTCTCCATTCTGTCACCTCACGTGTGTGCATGAGGCCTGAGCCAACCTGAGCCTACCAGTGTGTACACAGCACCCTGCTGGTGCAGGCTGTTGGGGAAGAGCACCTTAGCTCTTCTTCTGCTTGTAACACAGCTTGGGGACAAAAGCCAGAGCAGGGGAAGGAAGGATCTGCTTCCCCCTGAGACTAAGTACAGGGATGGAGGGGGCCATGAATATGGATGGATATAAGCCAAACCAGGCATCCGTGGTATTTATAGCCAGGCATTTAGCAAGGGTTCCAGGCTTCCAGAACTTTCTTTTCAATACACAGGACTTCCAGGAGGAATCATGGAAAACTAAAAAATGACGTGGGCCCCCATGAGCCCCTTCTATCTGCCTGACAATTATCACAGTTAGTGGAGACGATTAAATTGGCTGAAATGATGCAATTGGTATCATGAAGTCAGTGTTCTGCAGAAGGCAGGATGGAGTCACGAAAAGAAAAATAGGCCCAAGTCACCTGAGCCTGTGTGTAAAACCGATGCTGCTGCTGAGCTCAAGCAAGGCGGCTCAGTTCCTGAGCCTGGGTTTCTTCAACTGTGATACGGCCAGGTGGGGGACACCTGTTTTACAGTGGTAGCAATAAACAGTTTCTAAGCCAGAGCCAACTGCTTTTACTGCAGTTAAGACAAATTACACTTAGCAAGGCACAGCTATTGTCTACATGTTTGCACTCCCTAGAATTCACATGTTGAAATCTACTCTCCAAAGCAAGGAAGGATATTTAAACACACAGGGTACCTGTAATACCAGTACTCTAGGAAGCTGTGGCAGGAGGATCCTAGGTTCAAGCCCAGACTGGGCAACTTAGCAATTCAGCAAAAACCTGTCTGTAAATACAAAAGGAGTGGAGGTGTAGCCTAGTGCAAGGAAACTAGGTTCCACCCCCAGTATAGCAAAAAAAAGAGAGAGAAAGATATAGGGCTTTGGGGGGTTAATACTGAATTCTGCTGGCACCTTGATCTTCAACTTGTACTTCCAGCCTCGAGGGCTCTAATACATTTCTGCTGCTTACACATTGCCCAGCAAAGGCATTTTTGTTATAGCAGCCCACAGAGGCAGACCATTACTTCACCACCACTACCCTGGGATTTTGTTTTCGTTTTCAACAAAGAACAATTTCAGTCACCTAACTATTCCTGGTAAAGCATGACACATTTAAGTATAGCATACAGTCTAGGTCTCTCCTTTCTTGGAGTTAATCTTCACAGTTCCAAAGATACTAATAGAAACAAGTCAAAAACAAAACAAAAAAAACATGATGAGATAACAGCTAAGAAGAATTTACGCTGTGTAAACATCCCACACAACTAGAGGTGAGCTGCATACCAACACTCAGTCTCCTTTGCTACCAACAAGCACAGGGAAGCAAGCAAAGGCTTCCAGAGACACAGTCCTGGTGCACAGCCTTGAGACAAGGCAGAGACAGGAAGAGGAAACAGTGGATAAAGAGAACCGTGAAGACACCCTGAGCTAAGAGGCAGGGGGCGGGTGGTCAGCACAACCTGGAGACCGCCTGAGCACCGCAGGGGACAGGGTCTGGGATTCTCCAATCAGCCCGGCAGCACCACAGGTCTGCATGGATTTGCAGCAGGGGAAGATGCTGAACAAGGCCGGGGATCTGGACTAGAGCAAAATATGACAGGAATTCGAGCAGGCTTCAAAACAGTGCACAGCGAATAACAAGAACCCTAGCCCCAAGCAGCAACGAAAAGGACAGTGGGAGGGGGTCACTCCAAGAAGACTGGTGGGCAGCATGGCTGGGGCCAACAGGAGGCCTGCTGTGACTACCAAGGCAGGGTAGGCAGGTCAGGGCAGCAGCACGCAAAGGAAAGGCTTCTCCTGCACCTGAGCTGGAGAAAGGACTTTCAATCCCACTGATCTTGTGGACAGTGTTACTTGGGTCTCACATGCAGGCAGAGTCAGGGATCTGGGCCGAGAGGGCCGAATGTCACTGCACCAGGAGCTGGAACACACAGAGCAGGAGTAGTTGAGAGACCACAGCGGTTCTGCTGAGGTCACCCAAACCAAACAGTGGCCAAGAGAGGCAGCATGTCACCAACCCCGCAGAGTGATCATGACTCCGGACAGAGGGGCAGCTTCTCTGGACATCCAGAAAAGCCAAGGGTAACAACTGGTGCCAACCTCCACTCCCAGGTTGCCAGCAGCCTTTGGGGAGGGGAGACTGGGAGGGTGGCACTCATGCGGGAACACCTGTCCCAGAAGTTCAAAGTACATGTGTCGATTTAATTACAGTCCTTCATCTGTGGGTCATAAAAGTTGCAATTCGGTGAACTTTATCTTTTCTATTCTTCAAAACACTTAGTTATTGCTGGGCACAATGGGGCACACCTGTAATCTCAACTACTCCAGAGGCTGAAGTTGAGGCAAGAGGGTTACAAATTTACAGCCAATCTGGGCAGCTCAACAAAACCCTGTCTCAAAGTAAAATTTTTAGAATGTGCTTGGGAGTACAGCTCATGGCAGAGGACTTGCCTAAGCGAGGCCTTTGGATTTAACCCCCACCACCAGAAGAAAAAAAAAGATATGAAACATGTTGTAGCAATTAAAAGCAATCCCAGTTGAGAATTCACCTAGCAAAAAATGCCCATCTAGAAAATCTGATTCATGTTATTTCCAGCCCCAATACGCTCACTGCCAACAACAGTCTGTACAGGACTCCAAATGAGGAATACATCAAACAGCACCCGCTCACACAGCTGGAAGTCCCGCCCTCCCGGTTAACCTGGCCAGGCCACCAGAGACCCTAGAGAAAGAA